AAGAAGAAGAAGAAGAAAAAAAAAGTAAAACAAAAAATTGGCTTAAATATGCTAGTAATAAAGTAATATAATCAAGACTTAAATGGGATATTATTTTTCGATTGTAACAATACAAAGCTAAAAACATGCTCAGTGTTTGCAAAGGTGGAGTAAAAGAGCATTGGAGCACACTGCTGATGCACGTGTAAACTGAAAGCACCTTTTTTGGCAATATGTAATAAAAGTCTCAAGAAATGTCCACATCTTTTGACCCACTAATGTTACTTCTAGGAAAATATTCTTTTTTAAAATATCTTTATTTTGTTTATTCATTTTTATGTCATGCTGAGGATCGAACCCAGTGCCTCACATATGTGAAGCAAGCGCTTTACCACTGAGTCACAACCCCAGCCCCTAGGAAAATATTGTAAGAAAATAAATGTACACAAAGATTTGTGTATATTATACATGAATAGCAGCATTAGTTATGAATGTATAAATATTAGGTCTCTTAACTCCATCAGAAGGGAAGAAAGATGATTGCGAAGAAACATTTTCATTCTAGGATTACTTCTTCCACTTTAGTTCTTTCTTCTGAATGTTTGGAAACACTTCAGAATTATTTATATTCTCTGTATATTATTTATATAACTATTATTATAAGTAATGGCAGCTATATTTATAACAACAACAAACATCAGAAACAACTATACAAAGGACTAGGTAGATAAATACAGTATATTCATGTGATACCATAGGAACTACCTATGCCATTAAATTAGTATCATTAGTGTATAAAAACCAGGTCTGTGATTTCTTGTGGTAGAGAATGTGGGAAACTGTACAAGGGGCATGAGGGAACTTTATGTGATATGTTCTGGGATATGAGTAGGATCAAACTTAAAATGTGTGCATTTTGTTGGGCACAGTGGTGCATGCTTATAATCCCAGTGACTCAGGAGGCTGACATAGTAGGACTGAAAGTTTGAGGCCAGTCATGGCAAGTTAGGGAACTTCCCTCTCAGTAGTTTATCAAGATCTTGTCTTAAAAGAAAAAAAATAAAAAAGGATGGGGATGTAGCTTAGTGGTAAAGAGCCCCCGGGTTCAATACCTAGTTTAAAAAATGTGTGTTTTGTTGGATGTAAATTAACAAAAAAACTTTTTGCAGTGTTGGGGGTTGAACCTAGGGCCTTGTACATGCCAGTGCTCTATCACTAAACCACACCCTGTAAAATATTATTTAAGATATCAGAACACAATTTAAAGTTCCTAATTAAACATACATGCATAGAGGTAAATTAACAAAACACCAGTGATAATTATTGCTAGGTCACAGGATTATATTCTCCTTGTATTTTCCAAACTTTCTGTAGAAAACACATTATACTTCTATAATCACAAAAGCAAGTATCATTGTCAAAAATAACAGCAATAATAACATTTGTGCATGCTTTGCACTGACGAAGAGCTTTATCTGGTAGCTCAAGCCCCTTGCAATACACCTCTCTGAATCAGGATGATTGTTTCCACTAACTCCCAAGAAAAGCAATGACCAAGTAAGTCAAAGGCAGCCACATGAACTTTGGCTGGTGAAGCTTATTAAATGGGTCATCTATAGCAGTTGGCTTGAGAAGTCCCACACATGACTTACCATAAGTATGAGACTGGTGTCCACTCACAATTGAAGTGGCAGCACCTTCCTCTAACTGCTGAATTTTTTCTGTCAGAATGAGGTTTTCCTCCAGCACTCTGACCAGTTTTTGCTTCAAACTTTCCTTTTGATCAGAAAACAGAATACCAACATATTAAGAATCTGATATCCTGAGTAGTGATTTTAGAGGATTCAAAGAATCTTTTCCTTTAGTGATAAAATGAATGAAGGTCAGCATCTGTGTGACTTTATCACTAATTTAATTCATTGGCAAACACAGCTGACGCGCAGCAAACAAATCAATCACATGGAGTCCTGATCTTTCCTATGATTTACCCACCACTCTTGCTAAACAAGTGATCATTTTGACAAGTGGCTAACATTCTGAGTCATCTAAAGTTTCTAGAACTGAACTTGGTGCCTGAAAATCCTCTAATGTTAAGAATAGAGATAAAGGTTTGAGTTTCTTCTTCCTCTCCCAGAGTCAGCAACCTGATGCTCTAGCATGAACCCTGGTTCTATGCTCTCAGCTCTATCAGAAGGGAGGAAAGACAGAGACATTTGCCTTCCTTCATTTTGCGCAAGCCATAAACTTTGAGATCATGATCCTAAATATTTTCACTCTAGGGTTTTTGTTCACTCCCCCTTCCCATTTCAAGTATTTCTTCAAAATTTTTTGATTAGGGCCAGGATGAGAAAGTCATTCTTGGAGAACTTCCAAGTTGTCCCTATGGAAAGATTTGTGTTTCTGATTTATCATCCAGCCTGACTTTTCTATATTGGCTACGAAGTGTTTAGGTGTTCCTAATGATGATAATCTTTGGGTCTTAGAGCCATTCTAATCCTGCTGCTCAATTCTTTTTTAGTTAAGGAAGAGGAGGTAGAAATACAAGCGAGCCATACCATATCATTAGGGACAAGTAGCCCAGCCTCCTTCAGTTCACTGTCCCTCCTGCGGAAGGCTTTTGAGGATGGGTCTTCAGGATGTGAGCGACACCACTGTTGAGGAGGGGGAGCTGGGACTACCAAAGACAGAAGCAGATCTCGAGCAGGACCTGGAAAAATTCAGGTTGGGTACATGGGCCAATCTTAAAGGGTAAAGCACAGAATTTCTAGTCATTAACCACCAGCTTTGTAATGTAACTATCTCCTTTTTACAATAATTTGGTTAAGTAGTTGTAAGAGGTGTTTTGTGAAGGCTAAAATATTAAATCCCATATCCTCTGTGGAGGAACAGCAACAACCCTTCCTTCCTGAGTGCACAACTCTCAAGTCAGTGATTCATGGCTCCAGGGCATGATTTCCTACCATATGAGAGCAATGTGTCAACTTGGGAAGGAAAATGATTGGGCTAGGGTTTCTTCTCCCATGTGTCCCTTTAGGATAAAAAAAAAAAAAAACAGTGCTGGGGATTGAACCTAGGGTCTCATGTAAACTAGGCAAACACTCTGCCATTGAGTTACATCCCAGCCCTTAGAAATTTAAGAAAAAAAAAGTTTTTCCAACCTAAACAAATTTCAAGTTTCTAGTTTTCACTTCAACTTTTATTAACACCCAAATTTCCTTGAATTCTTCTTTCATTAAGCAACAAAAGCATGAAGTCAAAATTTGCAAAACTGCTTTCCCCCTGTTTCTTAGAAAGAATCCCTCAGAAGGATCCAGGTCATTTACTCATTCAAGTTTTTCAAACCATAAAATTTAAACAGTCATCTCAGAATTCTGATGAGCAAACCTAATTTCTGTTGTATTTATTACTGGCACTTTCCCAAGGATCATAAAATATTTTTGCAATTATTAGTATGACCATTCTCAATTTACATATCTGGTCATTCTATATATTACTAAAGCCTACATGTGTGAGCATGTGTGTGCACACACATACACACTCACACACAGACATCACAGGAGGAACAAAACAGTTGCTACAAAACAACTGGAAAGAGTGCTTGATTTTTAATATGTGGGGAAGACAAATGTAAGAAAAATGCATATTTGTTAACTATGGTATTTTTGAGATGTTTTAGATATAAGAACAATTTTCCTTGCAAGTTAAGGGTCTAAGTGACTTAGCAGAACAGAGCAGAAGCAAGATGCAGTTCTCCTCCAGGAACTGCAAATGCACTAACTCACCGAGAAACTTCTTGTTGAGGAGGAGGGAGCCAGAGCCACTCCAGTGCTTATCCACAAGCTCCAGGAGCTGTCTGAGGACAGTGGCCACATGGGGGGTTCTGGCAGAGATCGGGGGACTGTGGTTTCCTGGCAAACCATGCAAACTGCCCAGGTCACTAGAGAGAGGCTCAAGAAAAAAAACACAAACCCCCGCAACCATTTGTCATTCTTACACAACATGGAAAGTAAGAATCCAGACATTTAAAGCACTAATATTTTTAAAAATGGTAAAAAGTAAAAAGTAAAAAGAGATGGTTTCAACTTTCAGTGTGAATTGGAATAGCATGTTATTTATGCCCAAGGCAAACACGTACAATATTCAAGGATAATATCAAAGGTAAGAGTATTTTCTAACATAATTTTCTAAGTGGATTTTCAGAATACATTAATAATAAAAATGTGTTGCTTGACACCTACATCTATGATTTGATATATCATGTAATAGAAAAAGATTAAAATGTAGAATATTTTAAAAAGTTAAACTGGGAATAATTAATAAGAAATTATAACTCATAATGAGCTTCTACTTAATATATTAATGTATATATTTCTTAAAAAGAATCCCTTAGAAGGATCCAGATAATTTACTCATTCAAGTTTAATGTATAATAAGCATAAATATCCTATAACATTTTTAATGTTATATGTTAAATGTTATTGCTGGTGCCAGGTGTGATAGTGTACACCCATAATTCCAGAGACTAAGGAGGCAGGAGGACTGCAAGTTCAAGGCCAGCCTGGATAATTTAGCAAAACCCTGTCTCAAAATAAAAACTAAAAAATGATAGGGATATAGCTCAGTGTGGTAGAGTGCCCCTGGGTTCAATACCCAGTACCATTAAAAAAAAAGTTACACTGGGCATGGTGGTACACACTTGTAATCCTGCTTGGGAAGCTGAAACAGGAGAATCTCAAGTTCAAAGCCAGCTTCAGCAATGACAAGGCACTAAGCAACACAGTGAGACCCTCTAAATAAAAAGTACAAAATTGGGCTGGGGATGTGGCTCAGTGGTTGAGTTCAATCCCCAGTATCCCTCCCCCAAAGAAGTTACTGTTGGACCTAGTACTAAAGATATTTTTTATTCAGTAAGAGCTATATACACAACTTGTATAGATATATCTGTATAGTAAAATTCACATTTTTTTGTGTGTGTGGTTCAGGGATTGAACTCAGAGGTGCTTGCTACTGAGCTATATTCTCAGTTTTTTTCAAATTTTATTTTGAAATGGGGTCTTGCTAGGTTGCTGATGCTGGCCTTGAATTTAAGATGCTCCTGACTTAGTCTCCTGGGATTATAGGCAGGTGCCATTACACCTGGCCACAATTGTTTTTATTCATTGTGATCTGACATTTATATAATTTATGTAATTGTGAATTTTACTGTACAAATCAACCAATCTTTTCTGTAGAGTCTCATGGGCTGTAATAAGACTGATATAATTAAAAACAGTCAAATTATTTCTCAATCTTTGATGGAAAAAATTATGAATGATTAATTAGTTAATGAAACAACACTAAAGACAGTGATATTTATAGCTTAATTCACATGTGTTGCCTATGATGGTAGGGAAAGGCAATACAAATGGGATAAACATTTGTTCAACAGATCTGTACTGACCACTGATCATGTGTCTTGAGAGTACTGGACTAGTAACTCAATAAAGACTATGGATATATGAAGAGGTGAAAGATGGGGTCCTTTAAGAAGTTAACAACCTGATTGGGGAAAAAAGTTAAGAAAGTCTGTTCACACCACAGGGCTACTCTTTATAGGAACTTGTCAATAATTAATATTTACTGTCATTCGTTTTTGGTGGATTGTACTTTTGTGTGTACATCATGAAGCAACTTGGAAATATGCCTTTTAGCACTTTTATTTATGATAATCTGGGGAGATTTGGGGATAATTTTTATGAGCTATGAGATAATTTTGTTACTTTTTATGTGTCATTTAATTTTCAACAAGTTATGCTTTATATACTTTATGGATTTTTTAAAGCATTATCTACCTTAATTTTTACAATTTGTGCCTCTAAAGTCATTTGGTCAAAAATAAATTTTCTAATTACAAAATCATGTATAGAACTGAGCAACCTAAGATTGTTTTTTATTTTTATTTTTTATTTTTTATTTTTTTTAAAGAGAGAGTGAGAGAGGGGAGAGAGAGAGAGAGAGAGAGAGAGAGAGAGAGAGAGAATTTTTAATATTTATTTTTTAGTTCTCGGCGGACACAACATCTTTGTTGGTATGTGGTGCTGAGGATCGAACCCGGGCCGCACACATGCCAGGCGAGCGCGCTACCGCTTGAGCCACATCCCCAGCCCCTAAGATTGTTTTTTATATCTTTAAAATTTAATGCTCTTTTCTTTTTGGAAATTTTCTGACTTAACATCTTATAAAAATGGAACAGCATATTTCTTTTATATTTATATTCAGGGGATGGAGCTAAGACTCAATGGTAGGGCATTTGCCTGGTATGTATAAGGCCCTGGATTTCATCCCCAGCACCTTAAAAAAAAAAAGGTCTGGCTTTATATTTACATTCAAGCAGCAATTTGAAAACTTTCCATATTAAAAAATAAAAAACACCTAATGTCTGACAGGAAAGAGAGTTTGTAGTCCAGAAAAGTGCATTGAGATTTTTTTAAATATTTATTTTTTAGTTGTAGTTGGACACAATACCTTTATTTATTTATTTTTATGTGGTGCTGAGGATGGAAACCAGAGCCCCACACTTGCTAGAGGAGTGCTCTACCACTGAGCCACAATCCCAGCCCCGCATTGAGAGTTTAACAATATAATATGAAGTAGAGGTGAATTTTTTTTCCTAAACTTTCTTACTACTGTGGCATCCCAAATATCCTAAGTGATACTGTGCCTTTACCCTAAATACATTAACTCTCAGTGTTTTGTCTGATAAAATGGGCATTGGTGGCAGAGAATGGGGAAGGAGAGAGAGAGAGAGAAAGAGAGAAAGAGGGGAAGGGCTAGCACAAGCTTAAAAAAAGTATTACAAGACTGCCCCCTTTGGTACACAAAAATTATAATCACCTCCAAAGTTCTGTAAACTGAATGGGAAGAGTCCAAAATAAAAAAATCCAATCAAACAAAAAATGACCAAAAAACTCTCATAAACTCATCCCAAATATGTAAAAAAAGATTTCCAACAATTGAAAATACAAATGACTAGAAATAGCAGTTCTTGATCAAATATTTTGTTCCCTTACAGGACAGTAAATGATTAACTGACAAACGTTCAGAGAGGATCCTAAGGATTTGTAGTTCCTATAACTAAAGAGAGAAGTCTTCATGATTATCAGTTAAGATCTGGAGAAAAGTTAGCATTCAAACAGAGAAGAGAGGGGAGAGGAGGGCATTTTCTGTGAGGAATGAATGTGGGATAAGCTTGTAGGGCCAAACTTCTTAGTAAGTGTTGAAGTTTTATTATATATACTATTACATTTTGATTTTGTAAAAATGAACTATATTGCATATGTGGAATTGTTCTTGATTTTTCATTCATTTTCTCAGCCCATTTTTAGCTAAAAATCTCTTGGATAATCTAATTTATCTTCTTTTTTACTTTTATTTTTTAGTTATAGGTGGACACAATGTCTTTATTTTACTTTATGTGGTGCTGAGGATCAAACCCAGTGCCTCATGCATGCTAGCCGAGTGTTCTACCTCTGAGTCACAACCCCAGCCCTAATTTATCTTCTTGCTGCTACTTTGGCAAAAATTTAGAATTATATGAATTTGTAGGTAGAAAAGTGAAAACAAAGCTTTTTATAAAAACTATTTCAAGTAAGTCATTTGTGGCTGAAAAAAATGAGTAAGCATGATGAGATTATTAAAATTAATGCTATAAAGATCTTCAGCTAATCCAGAGGCCCTGAACTGTCTGAATTCCTTCCCGTTAGTAAACTCTTGTTGACCACTTCCTTAAAGTATTTCCCTACCACATTTTTTTGCTCTGGAAGTAGATCAGGGATAGTTCCCCTGTGATAGAAAGGAGAAAATGGTGGCAGTGGGAAAATGACTTTCCCAAGGATAGAAGAATCACAGGCTTTAGCCTGACAGCGTTAGCCTGGCTTCTGAAAATTCTTTTGAACTTCTAGCACTATTGGCTAGAACCAACACCATCCCCACCAGAACCCCATTCTAGTCTTGAACTGGATGTGTTTCTTGCACACACACAAACAAGCCAACACTTGCCTCACTGCCTGTAGCATCTCGGAAACCATGCTTTGCACTCAGGTTGACAAGGATATTGTCCTTCCGTTTGAATCCTCTCTTGGATGGGCTTAATGACCTCTTGGTCAGAATCTCTCTGTCTTCTGAAGTCCCAGGAGGTAACAGCAGCATTCGCAGAGAGTTTCCCAGGGCCGAGTTGTTTGGAAAAGAGCCATGTGCTGGTGTTAAATCACTGAGGTTGCTGGATAATTGTTGCTCTACATTGACCAGCAAAGCAGGGTCACTGTTGAAATGAGTGGTGGCATATAGCTCTGTGGAGGAAACAGGCTGGAAGATGAACCTGCCCTTCAACTCTCTTATGTCCAAAGATCATAATAATCACTCCCTAGCAAATACCCTCAACACTCTGGACCCTTTCTATCTCCCTTCACCTGGTAAAATCTTAACTCTGATTAAATCCAATAGCCCACATGCTCCAAAAGCCTATACCACAGCAGTGGAATGTGGTTGGAGAATAAAATGCATCTGAGCTTCCATACTTTATTCCTGATCACTATCTTGTATAGGCTCTTAGTTCTGTCCGGCTCTCATATATATTACCCTGGCAAATTTACTTTTCTATACTCTGAGAGGATCATCTCACATTTCTTATCTTCCTCAAACTTCCATCATCCTCTCTCCTTTCTCTCAGGTGATGATCTACACAGAAAAAATAGAGATAATCAAAGAAATGTCCATGTGATCCCACCACTAAATCTACCAACTCTTATTTGTATTTGTATCCATAAATTCTCTGCCTCCTTTTTATTACAATAGATGAACTGTCTGTGCTTCATTTAAAGCCAACCTTTCTTTCTATTGGTAAACTAGATCCTATTTCTTCTTGACTACCCAAGCATTTTCTACTTGTAATTGTCCCCCTTCTCTCTTGCATCTAGTTTCTCATCTAGTTTCACAGTTTTAATGCCACCAAAACACTTATAATTCCCTAATTCATATTTTTAAAAAATATTTAATTTTTTAGTTTTTTAGGCGAACACAATATCTTTGTTTCTATGTGGTGCTGAGAAACGAACCCAGTGCCTCACGCATGCTAGGCAAGCGTGCCACCACTTGAGCCACATCCCCAGCCCTTCTAATTCATATTTATAGCCATATCTTTCCCCCTGAATTCCAGACTAATAAGTCCAATTGTCAAGTTGGCATCTCTGGGATCTTTTGGTAGACATCTCAAACTTAAGACATCTAAAACCAAACTCTTGATATTTATCTGAAAACCTGCTTTTCCCACTCTTTTCCATCTTAGTAAATGATAACTCCATTCTTCCAAAACATCCTGTTACTTCTCACCACCTTAACCACTCTATCTAGCCAAGGCCACCACCAACTCTTATCTGGACCATAACCTTTTAAATGGTTAAAAGAATTTTCATCCTTGCCCCGACTCCCACAGTCTATTCTCAATACAGCCTCCAGAGTCATTCTTTTCTTTTTTCGGTATTAGAAATTTAACTCAGGGTCTCACACATGCTAGGCAAGTGCTATGCCACTGAGTTACATCTCCAGCCCTTTAAAAATTTTTATTTGGGGACAGGGTCTTGCTAAGTGGCCTAACCTGCCCTCAAATTTGCCTAACCTTTGGAGTAGCTGGGATTGTAGGTGTCTTCCACCTGCCCAGACAGAGTAATTTTTTTTTAACATTTAAAAAATTTTATTTTTACATTTATGTTTTAGGTTTAAGTGGACACAATATCTTTAATTTACATTTTTGTGGTGCTGAGGATCGAACCCAGTGCATGCTAGGTGAGCACTCTACCACTGAGCCACAATCCCAACCCCAGAGTAATTCTTTTATTTTTATTTTCCAGCTAGAGTAATTATTCAGTTAGATCACATAATTTCCTTGCTACAAACCATTCAAAAACTTCTTCTTCTTCTTTTATTTGGTACTGGATATTAAACTACTTAATCACTGAACCAATTTTTATGTTTTCCCCAACCCTTTTTTTAAAAATTAGTTATTGGGCTGGGGATGTGGCTCAAGCGGTAGCGCGCTCGCTTGGTGTGCGTGTGGCCCGGGTTCGATCCTCAGCACCACATACAAAAAAAAACGAAGATGTTGTGTCCACCAAGAACTAAGAAAAAAAAATAAATGTTAAAATTCTCTCTCTCTCTGTCCCCCCCCTCTCTCACTCTCTTTAAAAAAAAATTAGTTATTGATTGACCTTTATTTATTTATTTATTTATACATGGTGCTAAGATTCGAACCCAGTGCCTCACACATGCTAGACAAGCACTCTACCACTGAGCCACAACCCCATCCTCCCCAACCCTTTTTTATATTTTATTTTGAGACAGAATCTTGCTAAGTTGCTTAGGGCCTCTTCAAGTTGCTGCAGCTGGATTTGAACTTGTGATCCTCATGCCTCAGCTTCCCAAGATGCTGGGATTACAAGCATGTGCCACTGAGCCTAGCCCTTCAACTACTTCTAACCTCACTCATAATAAAAGTTTGGCCATCTGTCTGACTTCATCCATACACTTCACTTAACTCTACTATAGCCACATGGGTTGTGTTTCTTGAACATGCCAAGCATGATCCAGACTTGGGAACTTTGCACGTAGTAGTCTCACTAGAAAGTTCTCCTCTCACTTATCTATATGGCTTACACTCTTACTTCATTCAAGTTTTTATTTACTTATTTATTTTAGAGAGGTCCTGGGGATTGAACTCAGGGGCACTCTACCACTGAGCCACATCCCCAGTCCCATTTTGTATTTTATTTAGAGACAGGGTCTCACTGAGTTGCTTAGTGCCTTGCTTTTTGCTGAGGTTGGTTTTGAACTTGTGATCTTCCTGTCTCAGCCTCCCAAGCCACTGGGATTACAGGAGTGCACCACAGTGCCTGGCTCATCCTTGTTTTTTTCATCACAGCACTTATCATAAATTTACACATGTTTATAAGTTTTGATTTATTATCTGCTCTTATTATAGAGCTTACATGAAAGTAGGGACTTTTAAAAAATTATGGAATTTGCTTTTGCTTACTACTTTTTCTGAAGAGCTAGAATAGTGTCTGGCATATATTATGTACATAGTTGAATAAATTAAACATATAATTAAAGAATAGTCTCCATCAATTACTCTGAAACTAGTTTCTTCTGAAGGTAACTCATAATATTAGTGATTGTGGTCAGAGAATATTATATGCAGCTACAAACACATCCTGGGATGCTACTTAACTAAAATAAAATGTAGCTGTGAAGCTTACATTCCTACAAATTTTCTCTAACATATCTGTTATGTTAAACTCTACCCTGTAGATTTCTGGAAGTTCCATGGACCACTGGAGGCCCTGAAATACAATTTAAGAAATGTTAATGTGCCAGGTGTTATGGCTCACACCTGTAATCCCAGCAGCTTCAGAGGCTGAGGCAGGAGGATTGCAAGTTCAAAGCCAGCCTCAGTAATTTAGTGAGACCCTAAGTAACTCAGTGAGACCCTGTCTGTAAATAAAATACAAAAAAAGGGCTGGGGATGTGGCTCAGTGGTTAGGTGCCCCTGGGTTCAATCCCCGGTGTCAAAAAGGAAAAGAAAAGAAAGAAATGCTAATGCAATTTAAGAAACATTGATTCCAAAATTTCCAGTTATACTTTCTACCTTCATGCCTATGAAAAAGATCTGTAAACTGACAGGAAGCTATTACCTGAACTAAGCTTCAAAAGTCTTTCAGTGCTGGAGTCGGGGTTTGACAGAGAAGTCAGTAAATCTCCACAGGAATGGGATACGGTGGCCTTTATGTCATTTGGAAGCTTTGTGCTATATTCTCGGTAGTTCTTGTTTCTCTGAGGCCTTTTACCAAGACTTCCATGCAGGGGTCGAGTTTGAGAATAATGACTATCATAATTTTCCAGACCAACATCAGAAGGTATCTGATAGGGATGGATCTGGCTAGAATCACCCACATCCAGGCGTTTACCCAATGAGGCATCATGAGAAAGCTGATAAGTATCAGGTTTTGTTGTCAAGTCCTTTTCTGGAGAAGAACTTGAAGATTTATTGTCCAAAAAAGATATTCGGTACCCATCTCTAGTCATCTTCTCTGGGGATTGGACTGTAGACTGATGAGGCGAGTAGTGTCTGAATTCTAATTACCACCAAGAGGAGAAAAAACACACACAATGAGAATCCTTCATGGGGTGCCTCTGTTCATTGAGCCAGAAAAAATTTTTGGACAAGGTGGTTAATAATTTTGATAAATGGTAGCATAAAGTTACAAGAGAATTTCCACATGGACAACAAAAAATGTGGGAATTTTTATAAAACCAGTAAAGAATATATGAACATTCAGGAGATAAATTTCACATCAATCAAATCTCCTAGGAATTTCCTCCTAAAACTATCAGATCAGAGTTTGCTAAACAGTAATTTCACATAAAAATTTTTATGTACCACTACATGATAATAATTGTGATTTTATGTATTGAGTCTTCAGATAATAATTAGTCTATGATTTCATAGACTCCTTGCAATAAAGCTAAGCCAACTCTTATTCCCAAACTCCATCCAGAGGTACTGGGTTAATTCTTGGGGACCACTATCCTAAGCCAATTAAATGGCAGGGAATACAAAACCTATGAAAATCTCTGAATTAGGTACTAACCCAGGTATATTTCTCTCAGATAGGTATGTATGTCATCTCCAAAAGTCGTAGTGGGGCAGGTAGAACATTAAAAAAAAAAAAAAAAGAGAAAGCCTTGTGCTCTTTGCTGTTTTAAGAGCTTCATGTGATTAAAGTGATTCCTTACAAAACAAAAAAATACTGTATCTGAGTTAGTCACATTAACTCTTCCAACTCTGATGTTCTTAAGTACCTATAAGAAAATCAATGTTTTACCAAGGGTCAACACACACAGTATGGAAAAGGTCATAGAACAATATCATTAAGTGTCAAAAAGAATATAGGAACAAGAGGGCCTAGAGTGGCCCGGGTTTGATCCTCAGCACCACATACAAATAAAGATGTTATGTCCAACGAAAACTAAACAATAAATAAAACTCTCTCTCTCTCTCTCTCTCTCTCTTTAAAAAAAATATATATATATAGGAACAAGGGACTTCTGTTTCAAGTAATAACAAATTAGCTAATTCAGACTATCATTCCATTTAAGAATTTAAAGAAGTAGGATGATATATATGCTATATGCTTAAAAGCATCTAAAAGCTAAGAAGGTAGGAAAATCTAGGAAACAACAGGATCTCCTTGGTAAGTCTAGCATGGAAAGCCCCTTTTTAAGATAAAAGGGACAGAAGTACAAGACTAAGGTCCACTCAAAGTGGGGTATTTAATAACACCCTACCTGCAAAACACACACACACTCGCACACACGCACACAAGCACATGCACATGCATACACACAACACTCTAAAAAAGAACTCTGGGGAGGATACAATATTCAGAATAAAAGTAAACTGGAAATAAACTTGCTCTTGTAATGACTGGTAATACAAGTTTGCATCATCTGGTAGTTCAGAGAACCTCAAAGCTTAAGCTGGAATCAAGGTGACGGATAGTGTTTTGGGTGCCTGGTAGAAGCAAGTGAAAATCTGTTCTAGCAAAGATACACTCATTTAAGACTAATAATTGTTAGTTTAAAATAATTATTAAAATAGCCAACAAAGAGCCAAAACAAACAAAGAGGAAGCAAGACAATGAGTAAAACCAGTAGAAACAAACACAGACCTCCTCCAAATCAAACATTATAAAAAGCAGTTATAGCCTATAAAACAGTCATGCTTGTCATGTCTAAAGAAACATAAAAGAAGTCTTCACTCTACTGTCATGTACATCTAAAAAAAAGTCTGGATTTTCTTCTTAGGACTTGAAAAAGCATATAGAACAACAACAAAATTGGAATGAAGAATTCAGCAGACAGGTTTAATAGTAGATTGGATATAGTTGAAGAGAATGTAAGATTGGTTAGAAGGAATTAAACAGAGTGTAGACCAGTCAAAAAAAGATGAAAAATATAATGACACAAAGAGGACAAAATGAAAATCTCTGACATATATTTATTTAACTAAGAATTCCAGAAAGATAAAAGACACTAAAGAATGGGGGCACAAACAGTATTCAAAGTGCTTTACAGAAATAATGAGACACAATTCACAGATATGAGAAGTATAATAAATACCAAACAGAAGAAATAAACAAAAACCCAAGCTGGGTGTGGTGGTACCTGCCTGTAATCCCAGGGAGGCTGTTCAAAGCCAGCCTCAGCAACTTAGTGAGGCTCTAAGCTACTTAGTGAGACCATCTCAAAATAAAAATTATAAAAAAGGGGGCATGGGATATGGCTCAGTGGTTAAGTACCCCTAGGTCCAATCCCAGGTTCAAAAAAAAAAATTCAGATATCACAATGAAATTTCAGAAAACTAAAGACAACTGAAAATTCTAAAAGCAACCAGAGGTTTAAAAAAAAAAAGATTATCTTTGCAGGAGTGATAGATTTCCAGCTAACTTCTCAACTATTCTTCAATATTCTGAAAGAAACAACTGACAATCTAGAAGTCTATACTCAACAAAATCACCCTTCAAGAATTAAAATCTATAAGAATAACATATATCAGGAGGGTAAACGGAAAAAATGACTTTAGGGTCTTTAAATTATCCAAGAGAAGACTTAAGATATTGATTAATTTTAAAATTGTAAAAGTTAAGAACACATATTGTTGTTTTGGGAATAGTATTAAAAGTATAGAAACTATGTGTAACTTATAAACTAATGGTGGTGGTGGTGGGGAATGAATAGAATAATAACAAATCCAGAAGAATGCAAGGAAAAAAGTAACAGAATAGTTAGCCAATATAAAAAGAATAAAGGAGGCCAGAATATTCACTCTTCAAGCAAAAAATCAAAACCTCACATGTCACTAAACATTCAAGGCAATCCCCAGAAAAGCAGAAAAGAGTTAGTTGACTAAACAGGGCCTCAGGGCTGTGATATCATCATTTCTTAAATTTCATCTGTGTGGGGAAAAATACTCAACAAGCAAAATATTTACCATCATTCTGGTGGCTGTCATTTGGCATCTCCCTTCTTGTCACTTCCTGCATCTAAAAGAAGTTTGAAAGTTTAGAAAGAAGGACATATACCAGCATTCAGACATAAGCTCATTAGACGAGGGGTTCAGAGTACTTTCCTATTAGCAAGGATGTTCATCCATGGAAGCAGAGAAACCATCCTTCAAGCAAAGGTCAAGCCTATTTTAAAAACAGTCAGAATACAGGAGATGCCAGAGTTTCTTTGAAGCAGGTAAGGAGACTCCTTGAAAATATAAAATATCTTAGAAGATAAAGGACATTCCAAAAGGTGAAATACTGTATTTTCTCTGCTTCAGATAACTCAGCATAGAAATTAGATGAGGCCACTTTTTCTTTTTTTCCCCCTCTATTTAAAGGATTCCCATATTTATTTTACCTTTTGGTAAAGCTGAGTATCATCCACAGGAACTAATAGATGTTTTAACAGACTGGAAATTAATCTTAAGCATAACTAGTTAAGGGCTAAAGCAAAAAAAAGAAGCCACCTAAGGTCTGGTTTCAAAAAAAGGTTCTTGAAGTATATTTAGTGTCTTTTTGGTAACCAGGCAGAGAAAGAAGTTCCACTTCCTTGTTTGTTAAACTAAAAGGATTATAGCAATTTCCTTTTCCTCTCCAAGGAGAGCTTTTTTTTTTTTTAATCTAAGAAGTTCTAACTTTAAATGTAAATTGGAGTATCCTTTTCTTCATTTCCTTAAATTTTTAAAAATGGTAAGAGTGATTTTTTTCTAAGTCACCCAAGTAGAATCTTTAAGAACAAGGAAATCAATTAAGTGCTTTATTTTAAATTATTATTTAATAATAACAATACTATAATAATAATTTTAATCATAATTATTATTTCTTTTTAAAATAAAATATTGTATACTCAAACTGAAAAAAAATCTTACTAACTTTAATAGTACAGTCTTGATCATCCAAATTGTACATGATTCAGAGTCTTTGCTTCTTTTCCCTCTGGTTATTTTCTACAATTTCATTGCTCATACAAATTTATCAAAGAAAAGGCAAAGGGAGAAGTTGAACATACAGTAGTCAATTCTGCTCTTTGTATCATATTCACTCACACAATAAATCTTATATAATGGTTGCATGACTTTTTCTCATCAAAATTTTCACTAAAAATTTGTTATTTTTAATTCTTCCCAAGTTTTGCATGATTTCCACCTTCCCATTGTCCATCACTCCTGTGCCGTCTTCACCCCTTAACTTTTCTT